TTTATTTTATTTTACTTTATTTTATTTTATTTTATTTTATGTTATTTTACTTTATTTCATTTCATTTCATTATTTTATTTTATTTTATTTCATTTTATTTTTATTTTTTCTGCGGACGGAATTCACTAAAATCGCCAAAACCGCCCCAAAATCCTTCTCGTTTTGTTCAATTTTATTTTATTTTTTTTTTAATTTGGAGGAGAATATTTATTTTTTATTTGATTTTTTTTTTTTTGCTGTCGAGGCGCCAAAAATTCCCCAAATCCCCCCAAAACTCCACCAGAGCCCTCCCCAAATTCCCCCGATTTCCTCCCCCTTTCCCATTTAAATTAAAAAAAAAATTAAAATTATTTACGAACTCGTTCAAATTCTCAATTCCCACAAAACCTCCAGGTTTTCCCTCCGGGCAAAATTCGCATTTTCGGGGTCGTTTCCAACCTTTGGGGAGGTTCAAGATGCTTTTAAAAATCCAGAATTATTTTTTTTATTATTATTTTTAATTTTTTAATTTTTTTTTTTTAATTTTTTCAGCTCACCTTGAGCCGATTTTCGCTTTTTTCTCCCCAATTTTTTCCCCCCCCCGCAGATGGGGGAGACTCAACCAGCACACAATGAAAAAAAAAAAAATTTAAAAATTCACATTTTTCACCTTTCCCGCCAGCAAAAAAACCCCAAAACCCCCAAATATTTTTTTAAATTTTTTTTTTTACAGAATCCTCCCATCTCCGCTTCCTTTTTTCCCCAAAATTCCGCTTTTTTCACCCAAAAAAAAAAAAAAAGAAACAAAACCCAAAAAAAAAGGGGGGGAAGAGCGGGCCGAGCACAAGGGACGCTCCGGAATTCCCGAATTTCCCTCATCGAGAATTTCCATTTTTAAAACCCCCGGGGGCGAAAATAAATCGGAATTTTCACCTCAGGATCACTCAGGGCAAGGATTTTTAATTTTTAATTTTTTAATTTTTTTTTTTTTTTTTCCCCCCAAGATAAAGAATTTCCCTTTAAAATAAATCTCGTTTATCTCGCTGACAAACATCGAGATTTTGGTGTCAATTCGTCTCCTCCAGAATGAGAAAAAAATGAATTATTTCTGTATTTTTCCCTTTATTTCTCTATTTTTCCTTTATTTTTCCCTTATTTCTCTATTTTTTCCTTATTTCTCTATTTTTCCCCTTTATTTCTTTATTTTTCTTTTATTTTTCCCTTATTTCTTTATTTTTCCCTCATTTCTCTTTTTTCCCTTTATTTCTTTATTTTTCCTTTATTTTTCCCTTTATTTCTCTTTTTTTCCCTCATTTCTTATTTTCCCTTTATTTCTCTTTTTTCCCCTTATTTTTCTTTTATTTTCCCCTTATTTCTTTATTTTTCCCTTATTTCTCTTTTTCTTCCCCCATTTCTTTATTTTCCCTTTATTTTTCCCTTATTTCTCTTTTTTTTCCCTTATTTTTCTTTCTTTTCCCCTTTTTTCCCTTCCCCCTTTATTTCCCAACACCAACCCGCGATTTTTGGGGCTCTGCTCTTTGTTCCAATTTTTTTTTTTTCCCAATAATTTTATTTTTTTTTGTTCGATTTCTCCCTTTTGGAGCGTTTCCCTGCCCCCTCCTTCCCCTTTTATTTTATTTATTTTATTTATTTTATTTTATTTTTTTTTTTTTTTGCCCTGACCTTCACGGGAAAATGGAAAATGTCATTTTCTGCCTCCACAACCAGGACCAAGGGGGGAGAATCGCAGAAATCCGATTTTATAACAACTCCCGTCCCCTCCTTTAAATCGCTTTTTTATTTTTAAAAGCAGATTTAAGAAGATGAGTTCGGCCGGAGGATGAAACAGCGAGAAACTGAAATCATTTTTAATTTTTTTTAATTATTTTAAAATTAAAACCCATTGGAAAATTTTTTTTTTAAATTATTTTGAGAATAAAAAAAATCAAATATTTCTTAAAAAATTGAGATTAAAGGAGCTGCTCAGAGCTCAAAACGCGTTTTTTGGTTGTTTTTTTTTTTGGGGGGGGGGGGGGTGGGGGAGGGGCCCCCGCGCGAACCCTGAGCCGAGGGCGCCACCTCGCGGCCGAGCCCGCGCAGCGCGGCCGCCGGGGACGATCCGGGACAATCCCGGGACAATCCCGGGACAATCCCGGGACAATCCCGGGACAATTTTGGGACAATTTCGGGGTTTTCTGGAAGTTTCGGATCCGATCCCGGCCCCGCCGCCCCCAGGAAAAGATTTGGGTTCGAATTCCCAATTTTCGCCTTTTTTCCCCTCCGCTCATTCCATTTTTTCCTCTCCCTTTATTTCCATTTTCCCCTTTATTTCCATTTTCCCCTTTATTTCCATTTTCCCCTTTTCCCTTTTCTCTTCTTATTCCTTTTCTCCCCCTTTTTCCTTTTTTCCCCCCTTTTTTCCCATTTTTCCCCCTTTTTTCCCATTTTCCCCCCTTTTTTTCCATTTTCCCCCCTTTTTTTCCATTTCCCCCCTTTTTTTCCATTTTTCCCTTTCTCTTTTTCCCCTTTTCCTTTTTCTCCCTTTTCCCTTCCTCCCCTTGTTCCTCCTCTCCTCATTTCTCCTTTTCTCCCCTTTTCCATTTTTCCCTTTTTCCTTTTTTCCCTTTCTCCTTTTCTCCCCTTTTCCTTTTTCCCCTCTTTCCCTTTTTCCCTCTTTTTCCCTCTTTTTTCCTCTTTTTTCCTCCTTTTCCCCCTTTCCCTTTTCCCCCCTTTTCTCCTCATTTCTTTTTAATTTTTCTCTCCTTTTTCCCTCCATTCTCCATTTTTCCCTCATTTCCCCTTTTCATTTTTTTCCCTTTTCCCCCATTTCCTCCCCATTTTTCCCTTTTCTCCCCCCATTTCCCTTTTCCCTTTTTTCCCCTCAAATCCCGCTTTTCTCTCCTATTTTTTCCCCTTTTTTCCCTTTAATTCTCCCTTTCTTCCCCTTTTCTTCTTCCTCTTTTTTCCTCCAATTCCCCTTTTCCTCCCTTTGTTTTCCCCCTCCCCAAATTCCCTTTTTTCCCACCAATTCCCCGTTTTCTCCCCTATTATTTCCCCCAATTTTCTCCTTTTTTCCCCTCAATTTCCCCCTTTCCTCCCCTATTATTTTCCCCTTTTTCCCCCATTTTTTCCCCATTTTCTCCCCTATTTTCCCCCCCAAAACCCCGGGTTTTCCCATTTTTTTCCCCCCAATTTCCCATTTTTTCCCCTCCAATTCCCCATTTCCTCCCCTGTATTTTTCCTCCAAATCCCCGTTTTCTCTCTTATTTTTCCCCCCTATTTTCCCCCAATTTTCTCCATTTTTCCCCCCCAAATCCCCGTTTTCTCCCCCATTTTCCCTCCCCAATTTTTCCCATTTCCCCCAATCCCTTTTCCACCCCCAACCCTTTATTCCCTTTCCTCCTCTCCCTCTCATTTCCATCATTTTTAATCCTTTTATTCACTTTTTTTTCCCTTTTTTTCCCCCCTTTTTTCCCTTTTTCCCTTTTTTTCCTTTTTTCCCATTTTTTCCCTTTTTTTTTCTTTTTTCCCCTTTTTTTCCTTTTTTCCCCTTTTTTTCCCCTTTTTCCCCTTTTTTTCCTTTCTTTCCCCTTTTTTCCCCTTTTTTCCCTTTTTCCCCCTTTTTTCCCTTTTTTCCCTTTTTTCCCCTTTTTTCCCCTTTTCCCCCCTTTCCCCCC